TAGCTAATTAAGGTAACTCGTGGAGTATACAACAACACCTTGCAAAGCTGCAAAGTCTGTCAATTCAAGAGTCGTCTTTTTGCTTTTACATCAAATATACATTATAAACTTGAACCATTGAATGATTGGGCTTCTCGCTCACTTTCTATATTCATCTATTTGTACTTTAATGTAAACCTTGAGACTTCGACTACCAATATGAGAATGTTTTAATATAGCAGGGACTTGGATAAGCTTTCAGAAGCACATTTGTATTATGATATAGTTACAATTTTGTAAGTGGATATTACCTGAAATTAAGAATCTACGCGCTAAAGATCCTATGCAATAATAGTTGTAACTCATTTGCAATTAGATAGTTATGATCCATTGGCTCATTTAATCAAAAAGCCAAGTGACTTTACTACAATGAAGCAGTTATTTAAAAAACATAGCATATATATTCAATCCTAATATGTCTTATGTTCAAGATGAACGGTAACCATTGTCACGCAATTTTCGTCTTTATAGATTAATCAGAGAAAAATTATGTTTATCGCATTGCTTATCCACTTTAGAGTTAAAATTATCAGGTGATTAATTTATGGTTAATTTCCCCATTCTTTAAATTTGCTATCCCATAGGGCAAACATCGGTAACGTTACTGGAACCAGCTACACAGTCAAGAATCTTCCAGAAGGTGCAGACTTCGAATTTCGTGTAGTGCCAGTAAACGCATCTGGCCAGGGGGAACCAAGTGAACCTACTGATATGACAAAGGTTAAAAAGCCACAGGGTATGCGAATTTAATTTACATTTTATTATTCTGCATTTTTCTCCTAACAAATATGGTCATATGCAAACAACTGACAGAATATAAAAATTAGGATGAATGAAGTCGTTCACTTCATAATGCAGAGCTCCCATTGCTTACAATTATTCAAGCAATTTTAATTTGTCGCATTGTTTAACACAGTAGATGAAAACTGAGGTAATTCGTCTGTATAACATTTTTTTCTGAACATGAACTGTCTCACCACGTAGAATTAGCTACAAATAACAGTATGTGAGCAGGAATATGCATGCTTCGTTGGGTTAAAATTATAAATTTATCGGCCCTAATTTCCTGGCTTATTATACAAACTTTTTAACCTTCGAAGCCCTCATTAATTGGCATTCTGGTTGCAGGAAAATTTGCCATAATTTGTTTCTAGGTTAGGCGAGAAAAATAAACTTTACTTTGTTGGATAGGGTCGATGTAATTTCGATTTTAAGGTGCAACAATATTCCTGTCCTATAGATAAGCATACTTTAATAAATTAATTGCTAAGTATGATAGGGACAGAGGATGCCTCTAATGTAATTTATTAAGGAAGATAAATGATTGTGAGATTCATAAAGTTATATGATCTTAGGTTTCCTTTTTTTATTATTTATTTATTCAACTCTTTCCTTCAAATTTCTTCCCAAAGTCGCCCCGAAGATTGGCTATGATGCTCCACGCGAAGTAATCGCTACCTACAACGAACCGTTTAAGATTCGCGTGCCTTATACAGGTGGAAAACTTGATGAAGTCCTACTTTCTAAGGTAGGTATGAAAATTACTCCGAATTATCGGTGAAACTGAAAGTCTAATAGCTCATCCTCTCTAAGCATAATGAAGCAACAAAGGCTCATTACAATCATATTTTTGTGCGTTTTAGGCTACCTGCTTTGTTTTAGAGTCCTATTTACACATCTCAAGTTTATTCATGTGCTAGCTCATGATATATTTTAATAACGGTAGGCATCCTTCAATTCTTATACGTAGCATAATAGCATTATGGTTTTATTAATCTTGGTCGCCTTTTGTCCTTCGTTTTCATTTGAATTAGGAAATTTTCTGGACGAAATTTAAGCCACTCTTTAAAGGAAAACATTATTGGAATGTAGTCTGTACTCAAATTAAATTTTCTATAATCTAACAATGTGTGCGATCATTATCACAAAAAGTTGATATATTAAAAGAATCATTTAACTTTCTTAAAACATCCTATCTGCTTGAAGGCTCCCTTCATAGATGTATGTAACTTTGGCTGATTGACATAATTAGCAGTATCAAAAAGATTGCGGGTCCGTATAAGGCCAGTAAACAACTTTTTCTCCAAATTAATGATCCCAATCGTAATATTTTACTCATCACTTATGTAGTCAATCTGAATTACTTGCAATCTACCTGTAAAACTAAAGGGATCATAATTGTGGCTTGCATATATTTTACCTTCTAGAATGGAATTCCAGTCAACTTAAATGATCCAAATATTACGGTGACAATCACACCAGACGAGGCTGTGATCGCCTTCAAAAAGGCCTCCAAGACAGATCAAGGCCCTTACGGTGTTATCCTAAAGAACTCAAAGGGTCAGGACAAAGTACCTGTCAATGTTCATGTGATGGCACCTCCTGGACCCCCAGAAGGACCACTGGAGGTCAGAAACATTCACGCAGAGTCCTGCAGCCTTTATTGGAAACCTCCAGATGTGAGTAGATATTTATTTAAGCCAATGGTCGCATGATTCGCAAAATATTATTTACTTTACTCGTCAAAATAGCATAAGAGTATTATGCATTTGTGGCCTCTTGCCATGTGGAATTTAGTTGCCATTAAGAAGACAATATGATACCATAACTTAGTGCTAGTAATAAGACGGCTACCTCTATTACTATCAGCCGAGACGGCATAACAAGCAGCGTAATGTCAATACAATATACGCGTATCTAAGCTTCTCAAGACGAGATTCGTTAATAATTAATACGTAACTTTTCTGGTCGGAAGAATGCTTGAATGGATAAAAGTTCTAGATTTGTTAGTAAAAGATTTAATGATAGTCTTGAATCCTATTTTATATGAATAGAGCTGATGCCACTTAAAGCTAAATGAACTTATAGCCAATATATTTTAGAATTTAGCTTTCTGCTTATAACCACATAAGCAATGTAATTGTTTCATTGCCGTACATTGCCCTTTAAATAACAGGATCCTATTCCAAATCAAGCTCTTAGGAAATACTCTGCCTCACATAGAATAGACAAAACATATTCCAATACTGTAAAAGTGTTGCTTTATAAACGTATATGTTATACCACACTCTCTTAACAGATTATACATTATTTTTAAATAAGATGAGCTAGCAACAGCAGGACCCGTTGTATAAACTCAAACCTTTAGTCCTCCCCAGTGAATTTAATCTTTAGCTTATAGGAGGATAGGTGTTCACATTTGTCGGTCGCCATATCTAAGAAAGGAACCATATTTAATAATGATCTTTGTTGTTCTCTTATATCATGGATAAATAGTCGCGGAAAGCCTCATGAATTTAAAGCTATTAATGGATTTAGATATAGTATATATGGGCAAATGAGGCCAGGAATTCACATAATTGAGATCACTTTTACTATTAAAACCTGTGTCTTATGGTTTTTGTCAAGTATTATTTTTTAAGGCTTGGAAACCGAATCAAGTGAATCCATTACCTGGTACAGGACGGAGACCGATGAGACCAATAAAGTCCGGAAGTTCTGCTAAAGCTTGGACACTTACCACTACTATTAGTCTTCATGCAAATGTGTGGCTGTTTTGTAGAAATGTCATCCGTGCATAAGAGTTTTGCCAAAACAAAATAACATTCAAATGTTTACAGGCGCAAAAAACAGAGTAAGATATGCGTGTGACCAATGCAAGAGGAAAAAATAGTTCGATCTCAAAATCAGTATTTAGCGTCTTTGTGCAGTTTCGTCTAAGAATAGTTCCTCTTATTGATGACTTCTGTCGCCTGAGATACTCATATTAAGTTTGCGTGAAAGTATGTGCTAAGAAGATTAGTTTGTCCATCTTAATGGCAACCAAAGACGAATTGTGTTTGCTGTGGTCTTTTATTTTCTCGTTTGTAAGCCCAACACAGATCAGTGAGGTCAGCAAATGATGCATTGAAAGTAATAGGTTTAGATAGCTAAGGATGACCATTTCTCATTTCCATTCCAGTCAAGCCAACATCCGAAGCTCTTTTACACAACCCTTCATATTAGGCAAAATGTTCAAGTATTCTGAAAATAATAATTAGACTCAGCCTACTTCGTCAAGTATTCTCGTTGAATTTGAGATAGCAGAGCATAAAACCAATTTATAAGAAATATAGTTCTTTCACCAAGGCAATCCATTTAATTTTTTAAATATATACTGCATCTGCAGAAGATAGAATTCATTACCCATAGTTTAATTTTTCTTGCAAATGTTATCCTGCACAATCAAATATATCCTCTTTATCTTGAATGACAATAGGATACAGGAGGCAGCCCAGTTACCAGCTATATCATTGATAAGATGGACACCCGTACAGGTGAATGGACCCCAGTAACAAAGTTTGCACGTGGACCTCCTTACGAGGTGGTTGGTTTGGATGAAGGAGTGCAGTATAAGTTTCGAGTCCGGGCTGGAAACGAGTATGGCGCTGGAGAACCTCTCGAGACTCAGATGGCAATATTAGCCGCAGATCCCAGCAGTAAGTAAATCTACTTTTCGCCTGAATATCTGATAGTTGGTTCGTGTAATATGATTTTTTAAAACATTTTTTGCTGTACCTTACAGTGCCTCTGTACGGGGTCAGAGTGTTACGGCTAATCTCGCCAAAAGGATTCCGGATTTCTTCTACGAAACAGAACAGGAACTAAGATGCAAAACGAGCGTATACATTGCAGACAAATAGAATGTTTGCCACGATGTTCATTAAATGAAAAAATCTAAACAGAGTCGACGCTTTATAATGCCGAAATAGACCTACTGAATTTCCGATGCCATTCTCATTCGCAATGAGCCTTCAGGTTTAATATGCTAGATACAGCAGCCAATTTTGGTTTTCATGCAAGAAGTATCACTGGTGAGATACTTTAGCGATTTAAGTGGTGAAAAGAAAGTTAGATTGGATTATGAGCGCTTCAGCTTTTATATTCTATATGTCTGGAAGGAGGTTTTCCAAAAAAGGAGTTCGATCCTTGACTTTGCGTGTATTTCTGCGTTCATGTATATGTGTGGGTAAGCGTAAGTTATGAAAAACAATATGATACTGCGCTCAAAATAAATCATGTTGGATCATGAGATTGTCAGTTCAAAGGTTTCATGAGTTGTACAGTCAATATTGTTGAGTTTACTTCCATTTAGAGTGAAAGTGTTGGGTGAAGAGATTCAAAGGTCGGTTCCACCAGAAGACGACGGTGGATTCCGCTTGACCAGCTTTCGATTGGCTTTACTGGAAGATTCATGCTGACGCTGTTTCCAAAACAATCTCCTTCGATTTCGGTAAAAAGGTGTTAAGCTTTCGTCCGTCATATGACGGAGGAGTCAAAAAAAAATTGGCTCATCAACAAAACCAGACGTGTGTCCAACCTTGCTCAACCGGAGTGATGGTTATAACATGTATGTAGAAAGGGGGAGATAGTGGTCATCAAACATTGATGGCCGAAAACAGACGTAACTTTTGCTATCCTCATTTCTTTGAGCCGCCATTGCGGGTTTCGTGCATAAGCGAATACAAACAGGCAGATGCACGTACAGAGACAGACGCACTCACAGGCTTCGAAGGTGACATATGACCGTAATTAACCAAATAACTTTATACCTGATCCAAGAGGCCAGATAAAGACTATATATAGCGCTTTTTAGAGATTTTCCAGTGGGTTTTCTTGACTCGTTTGCTTGAATTTGGTTGTGACTATGATAACTTGCTTTGATGAAGTTCATCATATGAAGGACGAAAGCTTAGCAACTTTTCACCCGAATCGAAGAAGATTGCCTCGGAAACAGCGTTAGCATGAATGTCCTAGTAAATTCAATCGACAGCTGGTCAAAAGGAATCCGCCGTCGTCTTCTGGTCGAACCGACCCCCGAATCTCTTCACCTAACACTTTCACTTGAAATGGAAGTAAGCTCAACAATTATGAAACAAGAGATTCCTCGAAACCCAACTTTTCTTCACATACAGTCAATATGCCAATGCATTGTCCTCAATTAAAATGTGTTTTAATGATAAACCCACTTTGTGATTACAAAGAAGAAAAACAAATTTTATAACATGTTAACCCCTATATAATTGGACTTCATTAAGCTCGTTTGGCAAAAATATCTTTACATCACTTTACTTTACTCGCAAACACACATCCTATATGAACGCCTGCAAAAGGTTTTGTGCTACTCGACTATGTATAATTCATCGGTTTACGATTGGCTTTTGTCACAACTGCTGGCTCAATCAGTTGCTATTAAACTATACTTAACTATAAGAGTCCTTTAGTAGCCCGCGACCTCTATCCTACATGTTAATGCCGGTTCCTAAACATGTTTCATACATCTTCAGATACAAATAACTATGTTTGAGGGACCTTCATTTCGTATGAAAGTGCATGAAGAAGAGATTCGTTGGTCGATCTCACCAGATGATGACTGATGAAACTCATTGTACTACAGCTGGTTGGATTGTATAGGATATTCATGTTGAAGCAGTCCATGGGACTTCCTCCCTCGTTTGGAGGGATCGACCAACGAATCTCTTCTTCATGCACTTTCATACGAAATGAAGGTCCCTCTAACAATGTTATCTCA